AATTTGTTGATTCATGCTCAAGCTCTGTTACATCTACTTTTTTCCATTCTGAACAGATGACTATGATGTCTTGAGAGGTCCTGGTAAAGATGTAATGAAATATGCTTACATGCAAAACTTCTAATACCTTAGTTCTATTACAAAGACTTACCAAATAATTTGTCTTTAGTTTCATTCTGAATTGTCCACAGTTCCCTTTTTCTTACGGGAAATACATAATAGCATGAACAGGTTGTCAGTCTTTGTAAGCATGAAGACACAACTCACACTAGCTGCCCTCCTGAAATTCTTCAGATAACCCTCACTTGGATGAGAGTTTTCCTTGGGCCAAGGGGACTTTTTGCTCCTGGTGATTTCAGTGGAAGAGCTGTCAATTCTTGTCCAATAGAGCACTTAGTAGCAATGGAGAGACAAAGTCTTCTACTGTGAAAATGTAGTTTCTGCAAAACAAATATGTCAGCAGATATGGGGACAGATGCCTTTCTCATCAGAATACATGGTCTTGAATAGCTATTCCCAAGAGTTTGCTTTTGTTAACAGTCTTAATGTTACTCCCTCAGAACAGCTCAACTTGCAACCTTAATTCTTCTCTCCTGGAGAGCTGTTTCCAATTCTTTTTGCAGGTTAAACTGGCAGCCTCCAGCATGAGGGCTGCTGGAACCCCCTTGGAGCTCTTGTACCAGGACCAGAATCTGGTTACAAGGTGGAGTTGTGAGGAGACACTGGGATTCTGCTTTTGGACAGAAAATATATCAATTTAATGCTATTGTTTGACAGATTTTTCCAGACTTAACTGAAGAGCAATGTAAATGTTTTCTGTGAGCTGCATGCATTAAACTTTATGAAGGTCTTCTCACTCTGAGCAATAAAACCTTTTTCAACAAACCAACCAACCGAAAAAAAGGGTGGCCAGACTTCAGCCCTCTGGAATTGCCATTTCCAGTTTGAGCACTCTTTAAATATTTATGAAAAACTACTAAAATAACTTGAAGTCCTTAAAAATTACCCAATATTTATAAACAGGGATCACTAAAGCAAGCTGCGTTAGGATTTGTGGGTGTTGGATACGTTTAAAAATCAGCATGGTCATTTAAATATGTTCAACCACGTTTAATCACTTGTGGCAACAAAATAAGTTTTAAGTTTATAATTTACGTTCTCTCACCTACTCAGATAGAGCCCTTGAGAAATCCCAGGGGATACTATTTAACTTAAAAATAGCATTCAGCCCTATAATTTCTCTGCTAGCAGCTGAGAATAAATGATCTCTAAATTAGGGATAGAATAGGGTGCATAATATCTACCAGGGGCTTTGCTGATATGCAGGCTTCTGCCAGCTGTTGGCATACAACTGAATCTTGAAATCATTTTGATCTTTTCACGTCAGCTCAAAAAGTAATCAGACACATCTAAAAGCCTTATTATATTTTTGCTCAGTGTATTTTGAGTCATTACTGATTTCAAGAGTTTAGCCTGTTATCAACGCTACAGTGAGCTACCCGTTTCATTGGTCATTTCAGATCTTGTTGCTCTAGTTCAGGGCTTGTGAGCCATCATTGTCATTCTGCTTTCTGACTTACCCAAGTTCAGTGGGACAGCTGTAGTTTGCACATTTTATGGGTGGGAGCCTATTGAGCCAAAACATTTTGTTTAATGTGAAAGTTGGTGGAGGGCACTGTATAGGAGTACAGACTGAAATCAAATCTTGAATGAGGACATTCTTAAACATGCAAATTCAGGATGTGGATCATACTTAAATTTCCCAGAATTTCAGCTGTTTGAATTTGCTGTAAATAATGATGGGTTTGCTGTAAATTTCACATTGTGAGTCAGCATATTTGTGAGTGTTTTAATATTAAAGCTAATTTACACAACCTAACAGGAAAGGTGTAATTAAAATTAAGTTGATACAAAATTTATTACTTTTGTATGCAACCTTGTCAACTGGGGTTTCATGGATGTGATTGCAAGAAAAAATTATGCTTTTTCTGATGATCTGAATTATTTTTATAGTAATGATTATTTGAGTTTACACAGTAATGACTTGATGACATGTGTTTCCTGGTTCTCATCCTATAGGATATGATGATTTTTCCTTAGATAAGAATTTTCAAATATTTATTTTGTCACACTATTCCATGCTATTAAAGAAGAAGAGAAATTGTTTGCCTTGTAAAAGAATTTGTTTTCTACAAGTGTAACCCTTTTAGATGAACTGTTCAACTACCTTGCCAAAACTGTGTTGTCATCAATGGTTTCTTCATTCTGCTTTTATTCATATCATGTATATATTGCTATGCATAGGTTTCAATTTCCAGCTAGGAAAACCCCCAGAAATTCAATAGCACCATGTTATAAAAGTACACAGAGCTTATTTGTTTGAATTAGGCCTAGGAGAAACAGCATGCCAATAATATTAGTGTAACTTTGCACTTGGAGGCTATCTGCAAGAAGGTGAAACTACTTTATGAGATTATAGATTGTTTAAGGAAATGTAAGCAGCACGACTGAAGATGCAACATCAGCCATGGAGAAGGAATAACCTTTGTTACTGAGCAGAATGAAAAGACAACCATGCCATCAAACTTCAGTGTTTCTTGCAGTTTTACTAGTAGTAACGTTGCTGTTTTTTCCCTTATTATCATGCTAAATGTCTCTGTCATTACCCACAGGCTGCGACGTTCTTCTGTAGCTGTTTTATGCTCATGTTATACTGAGTGACAGTCTTAATGGTCCTTTTTAAGATCCTTCCCTTAGATGCCGTTTTCAGAATGTAATTGTTTACTCCTTCTTATATTTCTGTATTTTCTTAAAATGGACTGTATGAACCAAAAATTTCCCCTTCACAAGAGTTCTGGGGAACTATTTTTGTGTGCTTTGTTTGGCTGTACAAATCTGCTGCCTCTTAATGTTGCGCTGGAAAATTATTATCAGATTACCTTTAATTTTGGTTGATACGTTTCTGCCAGGCAGAAGCAATAATCCCTGTAATAGTTGTGTTTTCCAAACTTATTTCTACTGTTTTTATTTCTACTTTCAGAGGCAACACATTGCCAAAAGGGTTAAATTCTTTACATTGCAATGTTACATATGAGTAAGGGTGTTTCGTTGTTTATTTTAGGCTCAGCCATTAATTTTGTCCAGGCTTTCTGCACTTAATACAATCTTTTACTGCAACAAAAGCAATTTTAGAGGGTCAATTCAGGCTGCATATTAAAATTAGCACTAGTCATGGGATGAATGTGCTATAAAAATCTGCTTGCAAAGCTGACTGTTTTTCTTCAAGGCAAGCATGAAACATGAACGTTGTATTCTCAGGTCATCATCGCAGAAAAATATGTTTTCCTAAATCCTCTTGCTCCTTTGGATCACACAACAGTGAAGACTTGCACTGTATCTTTCTTTGATTTTCTTATTCAAAAAGGGTGGAGCATTTCTGTGTGCTTTGCCATTCAAACATTCCTGGTGGTTCTATTTTCAACTCAAAATTCTTAAATTAGTAACAGATGTGCTGATTCTTTTGACTGAAACAGTAGACAATTTTTTCTACTATATTTTGAATAGAGTTTTTTGAACTTTTACTGATTATTGAACACTGAGTGCTAGTTTTTGTTACCCGCCTTCATTGTAAACAGTATCTTACACCACAGAAATCTCACTGAAGTCAGTGGAGAGTAATCCTGGTGGTGTAAGTATGATGAGGAGCAGCATAACATATTTAGAGTGACTATAAAATGCAGCTTATGGACCTAGACCCCAGTAAGATGTAGCATCCCAGTATTACATATCCCAACCTGCTTAGGTCTGTTTTGTTCACATATCATTCCCACTTACACCAAAATTGCAAAGCAGGTAGCCTGGAAAATAATTGGCCTACATATGTTGTTGGTACACCTAGTCCATTGATACAAAATGTATAGAAAACTCTTGTGCTGCAGAACTCCCAGGAAACTTTGTCTTGTGGGGGTGTCAATAGCTCTGAAGCAGGAAGGCAGGCTTGTAAGTAAGACAGGATGAAGACTGTAGAGCAAAAAAAAAAAATCCAAGGAGAATCTAATTCCAAACTAAGGAATATAATTTTGAGGTTTAAGATGCAACCATGAATTAGAGGTGGAGCCATTTTTCATTTTTCACACTTTGACCATGAAATTCAACTCCCACCCCCCCTTTCTGCTCCTGAACTATCTTCATTACTGTAATTTATTTAAGTGCACGTGTTATTCTTTCTTCTTGCTTATATGTACTTGTGATAACACAGATTCTGGTATGATCTTTCATTCTCCTTAAGCCTTTGAATTTTTTGTTAGTGATAATACAGAGGCATAATTTCTTATTTGGATCTCTAGATTTTCTAGCAATGAGAATGATAAATAATACAGACTGTAATACTTTTCTCTAGCAATGTTTAAAAAGATTTGAAGGCCAAAAAGGTCTTGACCTTCTGTTACACAAAAGGAAACAAACACCATGTTGAAAATGTAAAAGGCAGGTACCAAACAATAAGTGCTTCACTTAAAAGGAGATGAAAAGCATTCACTAATACATAATTAAAAGAAGGCTGAATTTTTTTCTTCCAAGAATAGTGATAATGTTCAAGGTATGTTTAGGGGACAGTATGAAACAGGGCTGAAAGAAATACAGAAGGAGATTGCATTTTGTTATGAACATACCTCTGGCATGCACTAAGATCATTTTACTTATTTTAAATTTTCAAAGTTTGGTTTTGCTTATGAACATTTTAAGTTGTCTTGAAAACTTACAAAGCCCATACTTTCAGACTTTAGAGAATTGAAATGAAATTAATTTGTCAGATAAGAGAAATATTTTGTCAAAATTGGTTTCCTGTTGGTGGAACAGTGAGGTTAGTCTTCTGGATGCTTTAAGACTCCTGGTCTGACTTGCTATATTTGTCTAAATAGGGGTTAAATAAATACAAAATGTCTGTCTTCTGATGACTGTGAAGTAGTTCCAATTTTTGGGTTTTTATTTTCTTGGGGCAGGAGGAAAGATGTCACTTGGATGTCAGGAAGCTTTTGAAGTTTTCAAGAGGGACCATGCTGACAGTATAACCATTGAGGACAACAAACATCATCTAAAACAGAGGTGAGTGTCGCAGCAAGATTCAGCTGGAAGCAGACACCTGAGAGTTCATTATGAGTCTCAGTAGGAATGCATAATTTTACACCAGACATCCCAGGCTTCTAATGAGAACTTGGTACAGAAACTTCACCTTTTCTTACTGGGGACGTTTCACATTCAGAAGGCACAGAGTGGTGACAGAGTAAAAGTCTGGATAGAATACAAAAGTGGCGTGAGGAATCTTAGTGCATATTTCCTCTGGTTTTATTCATCTTATCTGCATAGCCATGTTGAAGCAATGTGGTAATGGCATTCATGATCATGAATTATCTAGAGGAAGTAAGATCCATGTGACTGAATCAATTACTGCAATTTCCACTGTCAAAAATGCTTTACTGGCTTCGGCACTCGAGTTGGACAGTAAGCTAGGAGATGTATAACATATGCTTTTGTCTGTTGTTCCTAACTTCTTTGCCAAGTGATTTTAGTTTCTCTCTGCCAGTTTTGCATTCAAAAACAGAAATAATACTTTCCTCCTCCAAATCTATTGTTAAGGTTGGCAAAACACTACGAAATCTTCCGGTGAAAATAGGGAGACTGGGCAAAACATTGAAAACATGAATTTTCATAAAGCAGATTTTAAACATCTGAGAAATTAAACCAGCAACACTTGTTCATGTTGATTGGATAACAGTACTGTTTCAGTGTCAGTTTTATAACTTTAATCCTCTTGTACTGCAAGAGAAATAAAAGGTTTTGAGATTGGAGGTGACAGAAGAAGATTTCCTTCTCCAGGTTTCTCCTGCTTTATTCTGCTTTCTTAATAACTGAATATTCTGCTTTAAAGGCACAAAGGATGCTGTTTTCAGTGAAGTTGTTGCAAGAAATAATCTCTATGTCTCTGTGACTTTTTCAAGATCTTCCTATTTATCACTTTTCTGAATTGGTTAACTTTCTACCTGAATCGATATCTTAGCCACAGGGACACAAATTGCCAAGGTATTACACATAGGTAAGAATTTATCCATGTAAATTGATGTCTAGTAATGCCTGCCTTCTGATCAGTGTATCAGATGATACCCCATCTCTGCATAAATGATGACATTCCAATCATTTCTGGCGTTGCTGGCTATTGAGCAGAAGACTTCATGGTCACAGCATGATAATGGGAGCAATAAAGTTCTGAGCCATGCCCTGCATTTCCTTTAGTTAATCACAATTCTTCCATATTTTCTCTGTTTGTTATTACTATGAAGCAAACTGGTATTTCCTTCTGGTTTCAGAACATGTAATAGAGATGGGCAGAGCCTGAAAAGTTTGACGCCAGATTTGCTTTCCCTAAAGGACAAAGAGATTCAGACTAATGCCTTGGGTAACCTCTCTCCAATGTGCATCAGCTGATTGCTGAAATCAGTACTAATGTGAATGTTGACACCCTGAATCAAGACCATTTTCCCATGTCATTTACAGTCAGTTTTAGAAAAGATACCTATAGCTCTAAGTTTAGAGTTCATTAAAATGGATTTATATCAAGTCCAGTCTGTAATTTGGAACGCAGCCTCTGAACTACCAGTTACACAAAAGCTCTGTTACCCAGCCAGTGTTCAAATTGCACAGGAAGCAGTGTGTGGACACCACATGTTTAAAGGTTACCATAACTTCCCTTTATGTGTAGGCCTCTCATGTTAATAATTTTGTTTATAGTTGCATAACCACTTCTGTCATACCACAAACAGTATTTGGTTCACAAATTACTTATTTTTAGATGTCTTATTTTTTCCTTGGGGTATTTTGGGTAGATTTTCTTGGCTTGCTAATTATATCATTCTTATATTAATTGAATGGTGAACTGTCAGTGAGCCTAGTTGAGTTTGACTGTGAAGGTCGCAACTGTTGCTTGGGCTCTGAAATTATTCATATAGATGTGAGTGTACATAGTCAAACATATAGAGTAAACATTTTTTTCTGTAAGTACCTGTGTATAAGCAATCAAATCTAATCAGTTGATTTAAATCAAATACTGAAAAACATTTGTCTTGTTTAAAAAAGAATATATGTGAAGGAAATACTGTTTTTCACATAGAAATTTTCACCTACCACTTCAGAACTCTTTACAGGGGCAGTTCCTCAGTACTGTAACTCAGTAAATTTTCTTTTTAGATGTAAAAAGAGGGGAAGTCTATATGGTTAAGGATAATATCTCTCTGAAGCTCATGTGCTGACTTACTCTTCAAGTGATAGACAATAGATTCAAGCTATCCTATTAGGATCATTGCCTATGGGACGTGGCTTTGTAAAATAGAAAAAGTGATCTTACAGCTTCTTCATTTTTCTTCTGTACATTACTAACTGCTGCCCTCTTTAAAAAAAAAAAAAAAAAATCTGTGTTTAAACCCAGACAAAATCAGATTTCTGCAATTTGGAATTCCTATAGTTGACTTCCAGAGATCTTAATAATATCCTGTTTCTCAATGCAAACATATTCTCCTCTGAGGAGGAGAAAAATGCATCTCATTTTCTGGTGAAATATACTACCAAGAAATCTTCCTAGCTGAGCCACTCCAATGTAATATTGCATACTGCATGAAGCTTTTAAATCTCATCCTAGTCAGTATTTCCAGTAGTAAAATTCTACTGAGGTTACAGATGTGATGTAAATCTAGATTCCATTTTGTTGTTGTCCATTAATTCTTTCCACTTTCTTCTTCCCTTGCTTTCTGTGTTTCAGCTGGTTAGCAGCTAACTTGTTTATTCAGTATCTATGGATGAGTTTCCTGGAAAGGATGAGCTTCACTTCGTTCGCCTCTAATTTCTTATAATTAAAAATGAGTAAATGTTAATTTATTTCACTATATTTCTCCATTTTCTCATTAGACAGCCTCTGTGTTTTTGTCTTGGTTTACATTAAGAGTTAGAGGTTTGGTTTTCAAAATGTTTATTTTTTAATTACTGGCATTTGCATTCAAACCGTGAAATTTTTGAGAAAAACACTTGTTACACTAAAATTAGTGTCTAAATTAATTTTGGAGTTTCGTTATGGGATATTTATCTGGCAGGCAATGGAAGCCATGATTTGGCAACTTCAGCCTTTCTGTGGAGTGGTCTCCATGTATGATAAACATGAACTCTTTTCAGCTAACAATATAAATGTTCTCTCACCACTATTTGTATCAGTATCACCTTCATGACAGATAATATGAATTTTCTGTTAGGGGAGTATCAGGAACAGCTTTTTCCCTTTCAACATTAGAGTCAAATCTTATGTCTTTATCTAGTTTATTTGGTTTGACTATGATTCATAGTCAGACAGAATTTGTTGGACTGTCATAAAGTAATGCCAAATTTCAGTTTATGTTATTGTGCCAATTTATAAACTGTGGTGATTGAGAAACAGATGCATGGCCCAGTCAACTATGGGCGGTAACCTATGAATAAGGGCTGGATAGACAGCTGGCTTCAACTTGTCCAGCTAAATCTCTCTATGAACATGAATCAGAGTCAATAGTCAACAGGATATTTGCCTCAGGAAATACTAAGTAATTGATGAACTTAGTATTTGGCTCCTGTGAGCTGAGGGAAAGACAGGGAGAGGTACTTTGGGATGTTTCCCTTTGATCTTTCAAATCTTCAAGGCGTGCTTGGGTGCTCTAAGTCAACACCTGTGGGAAAAGCTTATATACAAATCTCACAGATGCTTCAAAGGCTTTTGCCTTCATTATGCAAGAAACAATAAGTGTTTCTTGGATTAATTGAAAAGGGGCAATTTTCGAAACCCCTCCCTTCCCAGAGGTAACTCATATTTCTTGAACCTGTTTTGCTATTATTTCAGTTAGAGATACAATTTGTGGATTTCCTTAGTTATTTTGGCTTGATCAAGACTCTTCCCGATCAAATGAAGTCTTGATTCACCATTAAGTATTATAGTTCTGCCTCCACGTTCAGCTTCTATACGTCCAAGTAACAATTCAGAATTTCGTGTCAAGCCCAGTGTCCTACAACAAATGTCACCATGCAGCAAATGATACTTCTACATTTTAAACTATTGCTGTTTAGACTATTACAATGGATATTTCCTTGAACAATTCTCAGTTCTCTTGGACACTCTTCAGACTTTGCCATTGTACATTCAATTGACTGTCATTATTTTTACAACAGCATATACTTGGCATTTGAAAGCCAGATATGTATGCCATTTGTCCTAAACAGTTTTATATAGTACTGCGTTAAGTGTAAGAGAATCATTATGACAGCAACTGCTCTGAAAGATCAGAAAACTGACAGAAAACAAGCACAAAAGGAGAAGGTATCAAGTTCTAGAAGACTATAGGGTATACAAGTGAATTTGTAAGGCTCTATAGGCAGCTGCTTTTAAAGGATATACTTAGATATGACATGTTTCCTAGGGAGTAAGACATACAGTGAGCAGGATGCTTAATAACACTGAAGTGAACACCACTGCAACACCATGCTGCACATTAAAAAAAGGAACTTCTGATCATTACGATATTTTACAATCTCAAGTTTTGATTAGTTAAATATAATGAGGAAGTGGTCAGTGAATTATTTGAGAAACATGCCTGGTGGGAATTTCACATTTAAAAAAAAAAAATTTCAGTTCAAGCTATTTGCATACTACAAAAAGGGAGTTTCCAAAGTGTGATTCATTGATTTGTTTCCATCCTTCTCAACCTGCTTTTTGCTTGCTATTTGCGTATCTTCACATGGCAAGCTTTGGCTTGTATCAGTATTTGCACTGATACCTGAATGTCATCTGAAAGTCTGCATTCACATAATCTATCTGTAGAAGAACAGAATCATTTTGTTTTGTCACTTTTACTTATATTTCTGTTTGAGAGGTTTCTTATTGCCTGGGATGTACATTTTCACACAGCGCAAAGAGTAATCATCAGCAATACGCAAATTACAGGCTGAAATTTGAAAATTGATGGTGAGCAGATGTTCTAATACTTTCAAAAATTTTGTTTGACTTTGGATTTTTTTCCTTTTACTTTTATATGGCTGTATGTTAAAGCACTGCAAGTAATGTAGTATAATTATTATTGTAGTGTAATATGACTGTTTAAGATAATGCAAATGTTAGAATAAAATATTTTTTTAACCTTAGAAAGTCAAATAAATTTGTTTTGTCTGTCTAATAAACCTTTGTTGCATGATTTCTTTCAGAAATGGTTTCTTTTAGACCAGACAATCTTTTCTGATAGAAAGGTGTTTTCAACCAGTTCTACTTACAAATCAAAAGTAGTCTGAAGTAGTTCTGTATTTTATTGTGAACAACTAGTTTAACTAGCTGTTCTTCAAAATAATTCTGTACCTTTATGCTTGCATTTACAGGTTTGCTGAAGCTAAATGCCTTGGTGAAAAATTGAATGAAGTGAGAAATAAAATAAGTGAGTACATTTTAGCTTTATTTTACCTTTTATCTGATGAAATCACAGCATTCAGAGGATATGAAAAGAGATTCTAGTTTCTAAAAGAAAAGAGTCAATGCATTACTAAGATTTCCAATAAGCTAAAATGTTAGCTGATGATAGCAGTAATAATTTTATGTACCAGTTTTGATTATTTCAAATTATATAATGTGAAAAACATCTCCCTTTACTTGACCAGATGCCTGAAATTCATCAAAAGGAGACGTTAAGGTATTAACGTTGGATTTTCTGAATTTTATTTTGGGATGCAAAAGATCAAAAGTATCCAAAACCATAATTTCAAATTGTGATATCTATGGATTATTGATTGTATATTTTTATAAATTTATATAGCTTCTGATAAAAGATTTCATTGTTGAATTACCCTTCTGCACTTCCTTTGTATAGATCAATTAGAGCAATTCTAAGGAATGCCTGTGTTCGGTGGGGGAAGTTGTCATTTCTTGTTTTAGAGCCCCAACAGCATATGCTTGGCTTCTAATTTCAGATTGCTCAAAGCCAAAAATCACCCGTAGATACATTCAACCCTGAGATAGGTCTTATCTGATCCTTCTAGTAGTCTTTGATATGTTCCTAGTTGGTTTTTGAGTTCTGTTGATTCCGAGCCTGTAGCTTCTTCCCTAAAAATTGGCTATCCAGGCTCTCAGTCAGATGTGAAAACACAGTTTTGTCCTCTGTTCCTGATGTGCTTGGAGATCAGGTCCATGTATGCACACACTCAGATAAACCCAGTCTCTTCAAGCTTCCAGACACAGGTTGTGAGGTCCCAGATTTGAAGGTTATCTGGCATGAGGTCCAGTAGTGTAGACCTTGCTCCCACTTTCTGTCTCCTTTCCTCTTTGGGTGGCACCAGCACAGACATGGACAGTTGAAGTCATTAGAATCACTTCTTGTCTTACAACAGCAGCTGACTCCTGGGAAAGACAAAAATCTCATGGCACTCCTGACAAGTGCTTTGTGCATTTACCATAGCCATGATTATGTTCTCTGTGGTCATGAGTGGTAGCTACTGCCAGATTTCCCTCCCAATCACCTTTGGGTACACCACAACTCCCTCAGAGATATTATGCAGTATATTTAAAGTTATGTCAGCTGTGTGGGAAGCCTCAGCCATGTTGGCACTGTGTTTTCAAACCACAGCACAAAGGATGTTTGGAAGGGATCCAGAACCAGAGAGATCAGGTGCTGAGCCCTGCTGCAGCAGTGTTCTGGACACTGGATTATTTCTACAGGACATGACACTTGAATCAACCTGCCTTCTCTCCGTAGACTCATTTGTCTTTCAGACTGGGCAGAACATAAAAGTCAGTACAGAACTTGTGCATGGATATCCACAGATTGGCCCATGCAAGTAGAATTTTAATATCTACCTTGCAACTATGGATCTCTCCAGCGTGCATATAAGGTCACTTAAATCCTGCCAGGTAGCCTTTTTCTCCTGGTAGACTTGGAAAAGCAGGTTAAACCTACTGTGGAGGACAATGCATGTTATTCTCCAAGTAAGAGGAAGCCTCTCCAAGGTGAATAATGCCTGCAGCTTTTGGGCAGTGGTGCAGAGGTGTGAACATCTTTTCTTCTTCTGCTTTCTTGAAGTCCACATTGTCCTGACTTCTGTCTCCTAGATTTACTTGTCTGTGATAAGACGAAGAGATTTCTTGGCCTGAATGAGATAGAGCCAAAGTCAGCACTGAATGTCAACTTCGTTCTTTTGCTGAAGCTGAAATCCGTTTTGGAGCAGGCATAGTGAACACCAGCAGTAAGCAGCCACCCAAGGGCAGATCTTCCTCGGTGCCTGGGGCTGTGACTGTGCTCCTTGAAGACAGGAGCCTAGCAGCCACCTCACACCTTACCTGTTGCAAATGTCTTAGGGGGAGTGGAGGGTGCAGGAGACAGTACAAGAAGTGGTGGGACACACGCCAGTCCTGAAGGTATCCCTTGTACTGTCCTGTTGGGACAAGACTTGTGTGGTCTTTAAGTCCCCTGAGACCTGCAGGAGTCTGCTGTGGCAGCTCGCAGAAATATTGTAACAAAGCAATATAGATGTAGCCTCGAGACTCTGTTTCCACGTATCCCAGCAAAATCTAAAAGAAAACCTTGGTTTGGACTGAATCGCTGTGGGTTGTTCTCCCATAAGTTCGGCAAAACTTCTGATAGCTATAGTGCAGTAGAGTATGGATTTTGCTGCAATTAAAAGCATCTGTTCTAAAATTTGGTTCTGGTTAAGTTCTTCAGTGTTAGAAGTGAAATAGTGAAATGTATTTGAGGAACAAGAACAATACAAAGATCTGAGTGCCTTTTTGTCTGTATAGTTAACTTAAACCAAACTGATCCCTTGAACAAAAGAAGCAGCTGTATAACAAATCCGTAATATTGCGCTGAACTTGACAATGCTTATATGCCTCCTATGGGACAGTGGAATAGCTTGGCATCCACATGAATGCTGAAAAGCACCTTAAAGAATCAAACCGGAAATGTCTCTATAGTTCTAAGAAAAATTGCACAAAATTACACATTTTGGTATATAAAGTTTAGTTACAAGTATGTTGTTTTCAAATTGAAGATTTATTTTGTTACACTCCAATTTTTTTATTTTGGTAGTAAAATGGAAAAATAGTCTTTTAATTTACTTCATACTGTAATCCTACTGTACAAGCAAGGGATTCCATCCATGTTGTATCCTTTTATAGCTATCCATATGCTGATCCATGCAGGTTATGCAGATGTACGCTACTTTGTGGACAGTTTTTAAACTCTGATGTCTGAGCCTTGAGAGTGATCATTATTGTACAGTCCTTCCTTCAGTTCTTTCTGTGTAGCTTTATGCAGCATGTGAAAATTAGTGCTCTGGTTAATATAAACACTGCATTTTAGTCACCTATCCTTTTCTCCCAGCCTTCTTACGATCATAGTTGTTAATAAATCTACCCATTAGCACCTCTGTAACAATTATTAAATCTTTGTATCCTTACACTTTCTGGCTTCTTCAGTTTAGCCAAATCCAGTCACACTAGTTTATATGGTTTAGCAGCCTGAAACAATTTTTCAGTTAAGTCTGTCTCGTCATAGCGTACATACTCAGAAGACCGTTAAAGATGCTAAGTAAGGTTACTAACCTGCCAAATTTTTACTGAAAATGTGGTAGGAGAAATGAGAGTCATCTGCGGCCTGCAACTGGATCTTTAATTTACTTTTACTGTTGTTTCGGTTTCCTTAAGCATTCCTGGCTGCCTTGTTGTGCACAATCAAGAACAGATCCCATCAATATCAGTTTCTGTTATTTCTAAGCTACACTTAATAGTATAAAACTATGCACCACAGAGGCCATAGAGTCCATTTCATGCAGTCTGATTATATTTTGAGATAGCAACAGCAGTTGTCTGTAACTTTTAAGTCATAAATATCCTTTCATTCTGACTTTGGAAATATTAGTGTTTTGCAGTAAGAAGTACACAAAATACTCCAGCCACCTCTCAATTACACTAGTAAGATTTTCATGGTAGGTTTTTGCTGGTGTTTCTGCTTGCATAAAAAGATTAAGGAAAACAATGTCTAGATCTAAGCTGTAGTTTGTGTAGTGTGCCTATAATATCAGAAATGAGACATTGTGGCTAGCTTGCCTCATTGCTACCATACCACATATTCCTGGATTCTATCTTATTTTATGTTTAATAGCACTGCAGAGAATGCAAACATTTTAAAATTATTTCAATAGAAAATGATATTAATGTCTTAGATTTTTAATATTGCTTATTTTTCACGAGTGATTCCTAGAAATAAGGTGAATTGTAGGATGAAAATTGTCTTTTTCTGATGATTAAAAAAAAAAGACAAATAAGAAAAAGAAGGAAATGTTTCTAAGCCAGATCATTGCAGTGATCCTGTTTGCTGCATTATCACACAAACCTCTGTATAGGCACAAATAAAGGAGCAGAGAGCTATGGTGCAATCATTGAGGGGCTGTTAATTTTGAAAGTCAATGTACTGCATAAATGCACGATCAAAAGGTAGAGAAACAAAGTATGGGTTTTGAATACTTAGATGTGTCTGGATAGGTTTGAGTGAACTGTTCAGAATTGTTTACATGTGACTGGAGAATGTACCCAAGGACTAGTCTTTAAAAGACAAACGCAGAAAACAACATGAGTAAAGTTGGAAAGAAATAACTGAGAAGTCAGGGAACTAATGAGAACTCTGTAACCAGTGTAGGAGAAGTGGAAAGTGGGCCAGCACTGATATACAAGTAAATTTTTGCCTTTCTAGTCTAACATTAAGAACTTTTAAAATGTGTATTTCGCTGGCTAAAAAAAAAAAAAGGTTCATTTTCTTGTGCAAAAACATGCTGCGTGACTGCAAGTGGTTTCATAATGTATCATTTCCAAAGAGTAACGGTCTGTAACAAGAACTATCGATCATTTTGGTATTGCTGAAAAAGACAACAAATAAAATCTGATGCTGAAGCCAAGGCTTTGATTTCAGAATAGTGAAGGTACAGAATGTCTTCTTGCCAAAAATTGAGTGAATTTTGACTAGGACATTGTGATGGCTCAAGCTTGGCTGGCTACCAGGCACCTATCCAGCTGCTCTCTCACTCTCCTTCCTCAGTAGAACAGGTGACAAAAGCTTGTGAGCTGAGATAAAGATGGGGGGGATCACTTCCCAATTACCATCACAGGCAAAACAGACTCAAATTGGAGAAAACAGGATTAATCTGTTGCCAGTTAAAATAGACCAGGATGGTGAGAAACACAGAAAAATCTCTCAAGTCAACACTTTTCTACTTATCAGGGTTAGCAGGAGTTTATTTCTAGAATGCTGTTATCAGCAAGGTGGTTTTACACCATCACCATGAACATTCCTGTGCAAAAGGATTCTGACAGTAAGGAGAAGTTTTTTTACATCTGAATTACAGAGCATTAAGTAACAACAATAAGTCCGAACTGCTACTACATTGATCACAC